ACGTCAGAACGTAACTCATTTTGTTTAGACTAAAGAAAGAACACATGATAACACACACCAACTCTTTCTGCTTTAACCTTACAGGCTGAAATGATCAGAAAGTATAAAATGCAATACTGCATCTAACATTCAATTAATCAGTTACAAAATTTCCTTCAGGGCCATCCCTACTGGGTACCTCGCTTTGAAGGTGTTCTGGGCACAGCCCAATGGAAAAAGACTCTGAGACAGAACTGTTGCTAAAATATTATGTATCTTCTCTGGGATAGAAACACTTTGAGATCCATCAGGAGTATCTGGAGACTGTCTCTGGATAGTGGAATATCTGTGTAGCTCTCCTGGACCTTTTGCCTTTCCTATGTGACAAATACTGTTTATATCATCATACCATAAAAATCATTATTAAGTTCATGGAACATCTAGACACACATTTTTATCTCAGTAATTTTAYAGTATGTTAAATTCATGTTGTTGTTGTTGTTGTTGTAGGCAAAGTCTCGGTTCAATAACAGCAGTTTGGATTTTGATATGCCAGGTAAAGCCTTAGAGTTTGAGAGAGGTCCAGCTAATGGGTGTAGAAATTGCTAGAAATTATGTGACACAATGACGGAAAAGAAGAAGAAAAAAAAACATTACAATTACAAAAACAAAAAAGTACTATAATGAGATTTTGTCAGTATGAGTTTTTCTTTATCACCGTCAGTTTATTGGGTAGTAATGTATAATAATAAATTCGGTCTATATTTAGGCTATGCTGAAAGTAGACTGTCTTGTCCTCAGCTCTTGTCTGTACTCCAAAACACTGTGTCCCAGTTTTGACACTGCACCAGTGTTTACAACACAACCGACAGCAAGGTGCCCAATTATTTAAATTAGGTTTACGGTACAAGGACTAGGATATGTGCTATAAAATAAAACATGACAATTTTTTATGGCTCATTAATTTAGACAAGACAGGCTAACCTTGGAAGAATCCCAATTTGCAGTATGTTACAACTAAGACATCTATTTTGTGCTGGTGAAGTATAATCAGTATTTTAATGTTGTCACAAAAGTTACAACACAGTGTTTTGTTGCAATTTAGCAGTGTATTGCAGTGAAACATCTCAAGACATCAATATGCCATTAGAAATTGTAAAGGAACAAAAGTTTAATAGTTTGTAATATAACATTGCACTTGCTTAGTGTGGAGTGTATTACCATATTTGTTGGCACATTAAATTAAATTAAGTAAATTAAAAAATATGAATCATCATTCATTTTAGTAAAGGTGAACAATTATGTCTTTGTGTCACTGTGCAAGTGTTTCTATTACCAAAAATCTCATGGACCTGTTAGAAATGTTCAAATTGAAAGTTTGAATAATATAAAAATCAATCAATCGATCAATCAATCAATCAATCAATCAATCAATCAATCAATCAATCAATCAATCAATCAATCAATCAATCAATCAATCAATCCAGTTGTCAATTAAATGTTTATTTTCAGATCTAAAAACTCAATCTCATCCAAAAGCTTATGTGTACTTCTGGGTCAAAATGGCTTCAAGCTTCTTCTTCCCAAACCATAATATTTCTAGAAAACCAGAAGCTGGATATGAGCAGTAAACTGAGCTTGAACAAGCCTTCAACTTGTCAACAGCTGTAATCAGTTGCTCTAACAYCAAGCCACGCTTAATTAAGGTGGCTCATTCAAGCCAGCTGTAAATGGTTTAGGATTAATGCAGGTTCAGGGTTTGTTTACTAGACCCATCAGGTGGATCACAGATTTCCTGATCAGGCATGTGCAGTAAGACATGTGAGTCTCACTTCTTCCAGCAGTGTAAGTGTTAATTATGATTCATATGAAGAGATGAAGAGAAACGCAGACTGATGCTGAAATAATTTCAAAAGTAAAAACTTTTTTGTGTCACTGAATCTGTTTGTAAGTTATCTGAAATTAACA